CGCGGGGAGGCAGCCGGTATGTGCGCGCCTGGGCTGAGCTCAGCCCGACCCCCTCCGCAGATGACGGGATCGCCGGCCCAGGCCTGCCAAGTCTTTGCAGGCACCTGCGCTCCGCGCTTGCCAGAGTGGCCTTGCTTGCCAGTGCCGTGTGGATGGAGGGGGAGGCGAGCCCCAGCCACTGCTCCTTGTGCTTCAGCTCTTTGCCCAACTCCTCAGGTGCTGCTGTGGCCTGGGAGGGAGGAGAGCTGCCCTTTCTTTTCCTTCCTCGGGCTTCAAGAGGACCTAAGAAAGCCTGGGAGCTGGGAAGGAGTTATCCTTGCTTGTCAGCCCTAGGCACCTGCTGAGCGGATGAGATTCGTTTCAGGCAGGTGACATTGCAGGAGGAATCACTAGGTTTGCTTGATCAAAGGTGGAAGGCTGTGATGTGGGCATGGCAGGCAGGCAAGCATTTGTCTTTGAGGGCAAGCGCTCTGCTGCTGGGATAGCCACCAGAGTGTTAGTGATGGCATGCACAGGGATGAAGATGGTCAGGTGGTGAGTAACACGGAACAGAAGGATTAGAGGTGCGGGTGAGGTTTTGGCTGTCTGAGTTATACCTATGGAATCTTTTAAAATTGCATACTCCGAAATGGGAAGATTTTCATGTCCTGTCGATATCTGGCATGACAGGATGACCAGAGTTGAAGATCATCCCTCCCTCCTATTTTTCCATTGTGAACTGACTAGAAAGAAGAGAACTAGAATGAAAAATGATAGAAAAGGGGTTGATATGAAAAGGCTTTCAGATATTTAGAGGGGTTTTTACCATAATGAAACCATGGTGCTGTTTCTAGGCAGCCTTGCAGAGCTCTCAAGACAAGCAAGGATGAGTCTGGCCAAGCTTTATTAGCAGAAGAGTAGACCTGAGCATTATCTGTGGTGGTTGTTAGGTCTGTTTTTGTTAGCTATGCATTAAGACTGCTGCTTGTAGAGAAGATCAAGGGAGAAGGGAAGGGACTTAAAATTTCATACCCTGTTAAAGAGAGGAAGACGAGAATGTACTGAAAGGTCTGCCAAAATTATAGGGTAGGAGATCCCCAAATTTTTTTCCCTAATCACATCTAGTGACCAAGTTTCAGGAACTAAAGGAGATTTCATGGAGTTGGTGATGACATCAAGTACTGCAGAGCTCAAATAGGATGAGACCCTGTGTGTTTTGTCTGAATGTGATCGTTGCTGCTGTCCACATGCAGCTCTAACAGCATAGCTACAGATTTCATTGTCATATCAGATGTCCCTGTAAAGTTACTGTTTCATATGAACAACTGTTACTATTTCAGCTTGTGGGGTTTGGTACTGCTGATGTAAATTGAGTGCATGTATGACAGTAAAAATCCTTTGTTTGGCTGTTTTAACATAAATAATGTTCTCTCATCTTCAGCCATCAAAAATACAGAGCTATTCTGAAGAAAGAGAAGCGAAAAAAAAAGCGGCAGGCGCTTGCCAAACTAAGAGACTCAGGTAACAGTGAAGTGTTTTGTATTGTCAGTGGAACTAGTAGTGAATCTTTGTTTTGTTTTGTTTTTTAAAAGGATATAATTTTGTGTATCTTTGCTGACTAGAACATCCAGTTATTTAGATGCATTGTTTTGTGTTTTTTCTCAGAAGCTACAGAAAAAGATGAATCAGTGTCTGAGGAGGAAGAGGAGGAACTAGAAGAAGAAGAGGAAGAAGAAGAAGAAGAAAAAAAACTCGAGGAAGAAAGGTGAAAAATCTAGAAAATGGCATATATGCAATAGATACATTTGTAGTCCATTCCATTTCGATACTTTGAAAAGTTTCAATATATTCTGTAAAACAGAATCCTTTTTTGTATATTTCTTTGTTTTTCTCTAAAGCCTGAATGATTCCTATGGAATTTTCACTTTTAAAGATTAGATAAGCTGTAGCTATTGCTGAACTAATAAATTTGAATTGTATGCATGACAGTTGCATCAGTTATGAGTAGTCATTAAATTTTGTCTAATTGGTGTCTGGTTTCCTTGGTAGACAAAAACTACATGAGCAGTGGTTGCTGAGAGAAGAAAAGGCCCAAGAAGAGTTCAAGCTTAAGAAAGAAAAAGAAGAGGCTGCAAAAAAACGTCAAGAAGAAGAAGAGGTGATGTGTAAACTGAGTGTTACAGTTGTGTCTGGCAATAAGGTAGACTTAGTGTAATATCTTTCACTGTTCTGTAGTCGACCCAGTTTTCTTGATGTTGGTGTGTTTGAAAGTGTAAGCTCTTCTTTCTTCCATTCTAGAAGAGCAAAATTAAAAAGGAAGAAGAAAAGACTTTTTTTAAGGGTTTTTGTCCAGAGATTTAGTTGCTTATGACTGGATGAAAATGTAACGGTCAAGGAGTTGTAATACAACATGATAGTTTTGAATTTGACTGATCATAAAGCATTTGTTTCCTTAAATATTTTTTTTTAATTTTTTTTATCATAAAGAGGAAGATCAAAGAAGAATGGGAAGAGCAACAAAGAAAAGAGAGAGAAGTGGCACAGCAGAAGCAACAGGAGAAGAGAGAGAGAGAGGTGATTCCTGGCAGTGGGAGGATAAACATGTTACATATCCTCTTGCATTATCAGATGTAACAGTCTATGCATGTTGAAGAGGGATTTTATTCTAATTAGTAAACGTATAAATGTGTTACTACTTCTCTCCATTCTGTCTAAATTCCTGAAACTATTATTCACTGTTAAATAGGATCTAGTGAATCCGTATACCGCGAAAGATGACTAGTTTTAATGCATCTGGTTGTTCATAGTATGTAATTTTTTACATCAGTTAAATACAAAGGCACGCTGTGAATGCAGGTTTTGATTTGTGCACTTTTTGCATCATGCATTAAAGATAATCCTTACTTAATGTCCCAGTTGAACACATCAGTGTTAAAGAAAATGCCCAATGAGGATATGGAATTACATTGCTGCTGTTCCTTAACACACTTCTTAATCAAAAGATATATTACAGCTCTTCTTTACCTGACTCATCCAACAGGACGTATCTTTTTTTTTCAGAGCTCCTTGGGTGGAGAAAAAAATGATACTGAAGAGACTAGTTGTAACATTTCTGTTAATGATACATTCTTCTTAAGTTTTAGAAGTTGAGTGACCTGGATATAAGATGTCCTGTACAGAAATCCGACGTGAGGACTGGCCTGTCGCCAGTAAAGGGTGATGCAGCTTTTTAGGATCCCATCATTTTAGCTTCTCCACAATCGCAAAAGATTTCAGTCATTTTACTGGGAGATGTGTTGCTACTGTGTCTGGTAGCCACAGCAGGAGAAGAGACACGAGCGAACAGCATTGTCTCCTGCATTTCATAGTTGATTGTGTCACTGATTACCTAACACTTTCATGAGGAATGGAAAAGAACAGCAGTTGTTGTATTTCCTGTCTGTCCTCATTTTGTGTTAAGTGTCCATTTCTCTCTTTGCAGACTAGGGAGAGAAAATGATGGTTGCATCCTTTATTTAGAGTTGAGATATAGTTCCAAGGGAGTTGAACCATGGTAACAGCAGGATTTTGTTCCTTCCTTCTCCTTGTGCCTGGGTTTGCCCAAGCCCTCAGTGGGCTAATTTGGTTCCAGAGATGGAAGCCGCTTTCTTTTTTTTTTCTGTTTGTTGGCTTGTTTGGTTTGGTTTTTTTCTGGGTTACTATTTTACTGGTTAGGGAGTTAAATTGGCTCATAGAGGGCATTGACAGGCACCCAGAGGGAAACTGAGTACCCAGCTGGGGGTGGAGCCACCCATTTCAGCAGCGGAAAGTTGTTCAGTTGATTTGCCTGTCTCTTGAAACAGCAAATTCTTTAAAAAAAATATTTTTTTCCCCTGCCTAAGATGAGAAAAGAGATTTTTCTGGTTTGGTGGGGTTTTGATTTTGTTTTGGTTGGTTGTTTTGTTTTGTTTTTCTTTAATGGGGTGTATAATATCTGACATACTTGATGATTAGTACCAGATATGCTGTCTGGGTCCTCATCTTGGATTGCATTTTTTAAATTTTTATTTGCCCTTCCTCTTTTTTAATGTAATTAATTCTCTCCCAAATTAGAGCAATGGTAGCATATTTTCTTGTATTGGTTATGTTTAAATGTCTTTTTTCTTGGAACTTCCTAGAATAATTTCTTACAACTAATTTCCAGCCAGTTTTGGAGAGTGACTTTATTGTTTTGCTCAGCCCACGTAGAAGAAGGAAGGGGAATAATGTCCTCATTGTTTTCCTGTATTTGGAAGGCTAGATACAGTGAACTTAGGATTTTAAAGTTTCTTACCAGTTACATGTTTTGCTTTAACAGAGGCTCACTAAGCAATGCGTTTTCTGTGTTACATAAAATGTTCTAAGTTAAAAAGTTTAGTGCAACTAAATTGTTATGAACTTAACTGTAACCAGACTGAGTACTAGAGCAGGAGATATATTTAAATATTCAGTAGTTCAATGATTGTTTTTAAAAAGAAGAAAATGAAACATTTAAAGTTGTCTAGCATTTAGATTAGAAAATCATCTATGTGAGGGTCTTGTCTGATGTATCCTTTAACAGTTTTGTTGAATTGCTACAGAGCAAAAGTAAAACTTCATTTTTAAAGCAAACCTCATCAAAATTTTATTATGCATAATCATTGAGTATTGTAAATTAGGTTCTTAACTAAAGAAACCAGATGTTTTGCGTGTCCTCAGGGTTTTCACTAGTCCTGTGTTTGCACCATTTATAGGCAGCTGTGCAGAGGATGCTGGATCAAGCTGAAAGTCAGGTATGCTCAGAGACTTTTTGAAAAATAACTAAAAAGTAATTTAATTGCCATTCGATGTTTGCCTTCTAGCTTGTTGTCCATCTGCTCTCAAGAAACTAATGGCCTGAATAAATTTAATATGTAGTGGCTTGCATGAGCTGTAAACAATTATTTACTGGGTGGAATATAATTAAGCATATTTCTGGCTGGTTGGTGGCAGTGCAGTTGTGCATGCTCATTCCTGTTCAGGAAATCTGAGTCAAAATGAATCTGGAAATACTGCTGTGTGCTGTTAAAAAAAAAAAAAAACAAACCCACTATGCATGATGGTTTATTTGTGAATTAACATTCTAAATAAATCTGTCAGTCCTTCTGGGTGGAAAGACAAGCTTGACTTTTTAAGCAGATGGCAGGCTCTAAATAAAAGGATTCAGCAGTAGAGGAGGGCACAGATCCTTAAGGAAAAAAAAAAAGGGTGCGGGAGGGAGAAGCTGACTGCGCCGGTGCCTGGAAGAGCACGCATCTCAAGCTGACAGTGTGTAGTAAAGAGAACTGTGGTTTTCTTTTGAATCTTAGAGAGGATGGATTCAATCTTTCCTATTGCCTTAAAAAATAATTGGCTTTTTATCCCTGGCTTATGGTTCTGCTTAAACCACTGCATGAATCTGAAAATTTAGTTTTAAGCTAGTTAAGCCATTGTATGTTGATTGCCATAGCTACATTAGAGTTGCATTCAGTTCCAAATTATGTTTAAGGAGTTCTTTAGGTAGGGAATCTAACTTTATTTCATAATATGGGTAGAAAAATGCTCTGAACTACTACCTGCCCAGAGCTCAAGGTGTATTAGCAGCCATTTCTGCAAAGGAATAGGCAGAAATGTGGTATGTTAGAGACTTCATTAGAGTATCAGTTCAGCGTTCAGTCAGTTACTGTTGAAGTGAGTGCTGTTCTGTTGAAAGAAAGTTATGGGTGAGAGTCATGAAAAGAACTGGTAGCAGGGTCAAATGCTGCTTGTAAATAAAGAGTTTTCAGTTGATTTAAAACAAGAACTTAGCTAGACAGCTTTATAGATCTTTTGATTAACAAAATGAAAATTCCCTTTTTAGAATGTGTGTTTCGTTTGTAGTCAGCCACGGCTTGCAACTTGATAATCCCATTTTGAATTAGAAATCTTAATGGCCTGAGATGATCTGTATGGAGGCTTTTACTTCCAATGCTAACTATGAATTTATTTTTTTTTATTCTAGCCTTTGGCAGGTTACTTTTATTTTCGCCTTTTCTAGCCACATAAAAAACAATAATGGTAATCTTACTGAGCTTTGGGCTGTTGCAGAGACTAAGTAAATAGCCCTAGCTTTCTATCTGCCAGATGTATAAAGTACTGCTCAGCAGGTCCTGGAGTGAAGTAGGTAATGGGCTTAGCTGAATGGAAAGACCCTGTCCCAATATTTGTAATTCTTGTGGATAACAAAGGAAATTGCTGCTTAAGGAGCAAATATATTGCAACTGTTTTGGTTGTAAAATCTTAAGAAGCTTTTCCTTTAGCAAAAGAAAATGTCCAGTTTAGTGATTTTTTTTTTGTTGTTGTTGTTGTTAAAAAGAAATGATGAATATAGACTTGTTCTTAAAACTGAAGAATTATCAAGAAAAGGGGTTTCCATCACCAGAGAGGCAAAGCACTGGGCAGCTGTGTAAAACAATGCTTAAAATAGGTCCAGCTTGCCTTGTAGTAACACAGTGCTCATAACTGCATGTGGATTTCATTGGTAGTTTTATTTTGACATTGCATTTCTTTATTCTTTTCTAACTTCTGTGTATTTTAATGTTTTTTTTCCACAGCTCGAGAATGGTGTGACCTGGCATAACCCAGAGCCCCCAGAGAATATAGGAACAGAGAAGGACAGAGCGAATTGCCCATTCTATATTAAAACAGGTTCCTGCAGATTTGGAGACAGGTAAGCAACTGAATATTTACCGGCATAGAAGTGTTTTGGAGAGATGAAAGAGAAGTGACTGTATTAGGTCATATGCAAACTGAAGAAAAATTGCTATATAAATTACTTTGGTGTAGTTGGATGTGGTTCTGTTATTCATGATGGAACTAGACATTGAAAGCAAAAGCATTGCCTGGCTGGAATTGAACTATTTATTGTTACGGCATATTATTGATGGTGCATTCTCGTTACGTTGGTCAAACTGACTTTTCCTTAGCTCGATATATTCAGACAGAATATATTTGACTTCTGTTATTAGTACAGGCCTGCTATGTTGGGGTTTTATCTTGTCTAATTTGCCTATGCCGCATCATCTAAAAAATAAAATTAAATCTCAAATGGACTAAAGCCAGTTGACGTACATCTGCACAGTTGGGAAAGCTGTTGTGTAGCTTCCAGAATTCTCCTGTTTGTATACTGTTTAAAAGCGTGATACATTCATTCTTGATTCTTGTATACTGTTAGGGGTGCCCTATCTGGTGCCCTGTCTCGGAAGGGAAGTATAGTAAAAGGCAAGAAGAGAGAAGGACAAGAAGATGATTGGAGATGGGGAACAGCTTCTGTAGGAGGAGTGGCTTAACTAGTCTAGACTCTGCTTTCAAAGAGATGATGGAAGAGGGCTGTAATAGATGAACATTGACCTCATGAGTAGGATGGGAAGGTTTATTTGCTTTTATTATGAAACAGTTTAATTAGGTGTCCCTGAGTGTTTACCAGATTTTTTTAAAAAAGAGACTTTCTCATATGAAACAAATGGTGAAATTTGTTGCCAGAGGACATAGAGGAAGCCAAAAGTATAAATGGGTTCATGGAGTACAGGTTCATCAGTGACCATTAAAGATGATGACCCAAATGCAGCATCTAGCTAGAAAGTCCCTGAATTTTTGTCTGTGTTAAGGAGGAACAATAGCCCATCAGGGAAAGACTGATACTTATTACATGTATCTTCATCATAAACTCATAAGGCTATTTTACTAACTTGTATCACTGAAGCATGTGTGGTCCAGCTATTGTAGCTTTCTTTATCCTAGAAGTAATTTGTTTTAGTGTGATGTGGATAATTATGTCATAATTCAACTCTATGGAAGCTTCAAGTCCACATCTTTTTTCTATTCTGAAATGTGTGTTGAATTCCTAAATAAAACTTTGGCCAGCTATTTCACTGCAGACAGCATTTTTGCATTTCAAATGTTTAGTTCTTGTAATCTTTGCAGTATTTTTGTTTCAGTGGTATTTAATGGAGGTAATCTCTTTGGATTAATTATGGGTTGCATAAAAATCAGGTTTGCTTTGAACTGTGAATAGCCTTGGTAAATAAACACTGAGAAACATCATGTTCTGCCCTTCTTTCCTCACCTATAGTTGTTGATCTCAGCTACCTCCCCTTTGTCTTCCTTCCTCCTCCGCACCTACCTGCTTCCTTCCTATTCTGGTCATTTTAACCTCTGGTGTTGACCATAGGTTGAAGGACTGAGGTACAGCTAGGAGGAGGACTGGCGGAGTAGGTTGGAAGCTGAAATGGACCACAGTGGTGAAAAACTGAGAGCCAGTGTTATCAATAAAGTAATTGTTGAATCTTCTCAAAGCTCACTAGGTTTTGAAGAAGCTAAAACTGGCTGAGTTCACCATTACTAATATCCCCAGTAATTCAAACTCTAATATTTTGTAGTGATACTGGATTTTGGGTCATTCATTTTCCTTGGGGTTCCTTTTCTTCTGTCACGTGCTATATTCATTTTGTGTACAGCACTACTGGTTGGGTATAATAGTCCGAGTTCTGTTATTCAAATAGAACAGTGAAAGGAGGCAGCTTCTAAAATGTAAAGAAAAAAAATTTAACTGTCTCCAGTTTTAGTTTTGGGTTTGGAGTTCTGCTTTTTTTGTGGTTTGTTTTTTGAAGTCTAAGGTGTCAAGCAGAAAGTGAGAGTCAATTTCTGACTGACTGGATGTGGAAAGAAACTTCTTATCAGAAGTCGACGTTGTAATTGCCCATTTTGAGACCCAGCCTCACTCCAATTTGTCTGTGCTTTGCCAGGGCTAGATAAAGAGAGTAGACTAGCCTGACGGGTTTTCTGATCGGGTCATGAAAAGGAGAAATGTGTTGGAGGGTGCATGACCCAGTTGCTCAGGGAAGTGTTTGAAATGGAGATCATAAAGCGTAGTGAAATAAATATGGAGGGTAACATCTGTGTTCTTACTGAATCTAAAGGTTTGTCGGGGAAAACTGTTTTTTGGCAAGTGAGGGAGGTAACCTGAATATGATGGATGGTGAGGGAGCTCCAATACTGTTATGACTGCTTTTTTTATCTATAGCTTTTGCAGATGCGATTTTTTTTTTTTTTTAAGCAAGAATGTATTTAGGCATGGCAGAAAGCATTAAGATTATATGCAGACTCACTTCCAAAGGATTTGTTTTAATAATTGAAGTATGTTGATCTTCCACTAATGGATCATCTTTTGTAGTAACTATTACTCAAAATGGCAAGTGCTTCAAGTTTCAACAAGTGCATCTTCTGCTGAAAGTGCTGATCCTTTCACTTTTCTTTCTTCACTACAAATGTCCAGGTGTTCTCGCAAGCATAACTATCCAACGTCTAGTAAAACACTACTTGTCCGAGGGATGTTCATTACTTTTGGCATGGAGCAGTGCCGGAGAGATGACTACGACACAGATGCGAGTCTCGAGTACAGTGATGAGGAGACCTACCAGCAGTTCCTGGAGTTCTACGAGGATGTGCTCCCTGAGTTTCAGAACGTGGGGAAGGTTGTTCAATTCAAGGTACACATCTGAGTGTAATGCCGTGTTAAATATGTAATATACACCACGTAAGTTGTGTTTTACTAGCCTGAACAGGAATCCTGTCCAGCATGTCCTAGCTAAATCCCATGTACATGAGAGAACTATAGGGTGTCCACACAGCAAACTGTGCATCTCTCATGTCACCTGTAAACTTGTCACTGCTGTTACAGAGCATTGCCTTACTCTGGGTGAATCTTCTCTCCCGTTCCCCTGAACTGTTATGAAAGCTTGTGCTTTTATATTGCAAGTTATTCATACAGCTCAACAGTCCACTTACCTCATGGTCCCTTCTTTTCTTAGCCCCTGATAAGCCCCAGAGGGTCTCCTAAGAGTCATAGAAAATATAAATATATCTGGGCTATTGTATTTGTGCTTAAGGAATGAAATAGTGGGGGTGTAAAATGTATTTGGAGTATACACCCAAACAGTGTCATTTTAGGACTGGTTGGATAAAATAAAATCAAATTACAGTGAACTGAAAAGGTAGTAGATATTTCAGTAGGAGGAATTACAAAAAGGTAAGTTAGGTAAATGGTGTTCAGATTTGTCATGCATCCTTAGTTTGTGCATTTCATTTGCTAAATGTTCTGTACTGAATTTTTCCCATTTATATTATGATTTCTTGTCGGGGGGAAAGAGGGACCTGTAAATGGAGACCTCGGAGATGAATGGTGTGTGTTAACAGTCCCACGTTGCCCCAAAATGTGCAGCTTGGATGGTGAAATCTCCTTGTAGCAGAATCTATTGCAGCATCCCTTTCTGCTTGCCATTCCCGAGTGTTTTCCTGCAGTCACCAGGAGGCACGCAGTGCCTTTTCTGCTTTTGTTTCCATCTACTGACAGCTGCCTCAGAACTGAGATTGAATTAGCATTTCAAGCAAGAGGAAGGTAGAAAAAGTGAATTTTCAGTAGTTGTATAATGAGCTTTATAGGTAAGAAACCTTCACTTGTTTGAATGGGTATCCTTTCCTTGTTTTGACTCACGCAATATTAGCAAGCTGTGCTCTATCCTAGAAGACAGGATGGAGATTCCCGATGGAGCATGGGTTGAAATGCTCTCTTACCATCAAACTTGGATCCTCGACTTCGTATTGTTGTTACATGCCGCTGTGCTAAGTTGCACATACTTGGGTCCCTGTGACTAATAACAGGGTAAGAGCTTTTAGTGTGGCATTTTTTAGCTTCTGAAGCAATTGTGCAACTGTAATATGATTCTCATGGGCACCTTCATTATATTAGAGATGCTTAGAAATTATGTCTTGGCTGCAGAGATCTTAACTGTGATTGAGCCAAGTCTCTGTAACCATTTAGGATCAGATTATACACACCCCTCTTTCAGCTGACTTCCCTTGCCAATGTAGCCCAAGGTTTTTATTCTTGATGTTCTTTCCAGGAAGCTACTCCAGAATCTGGCAGATTCTGACAAAACACACTTCTTTTCCCACCCAGAAATGTCCATGGCAAAATCATTCTCGCTTGTTCTTGTGTTGACGTTGTTTATCTCAAATAGTTTGACTACTTATTCTGTAATATTTAATTATGCAACTGCTTGTTGTTGTGTTTGAAGCCCTTGCCTAATCCAGTGCACAGGGAAGTATTCCCTGAGGGTCGGTCAGGGCTCGGTGATGAAAGGAGCCACTTGCCTCCTTTGGGGC